CTGAGGGTAGAAGGGACTTCAGCTAAAAATTGCTTCTCCTCTATACCCCGTTCCGTATGCAAATGCACAATATTACTCTAGCTGTAGATCAGGACAAACAGCCGTTTGGCGCAGACCTTTCTAGGTTCTGTGGGTGGCCCGGCACCCATTTTGATCTTCTTGTCATAGTCAGATTAGGGCCAGTCTTGGGAATTCTGTTGTTCCATCATCTCTCTAGAGAGCAGGCTGGCCCGAACACCTCGTCTGTTCTGAAGATGAGGGAATTGAAAGGCCTTCATCATGCTGGCTTGGAGCCTTGGAGGTGTAGGTAGCATATTGATGACAGAGCAGGGAAGACAATTGTGGGCATCGGGTGCCATCATGATTGGGTTGCTCTGTGTGCTGAGGTCAGCATCAGAGCAGATTTGGTGCAGAGAGCCCTGGCTGGTTAGAAATTGGCGTATGCACATACAGGCTCATGGGCCAGGCTGGTTTACTAGGGCAGAATGATTTGGGCCTTTGTGGAAGAGTTGGTGGAGTGAAGTGTGAATCTGTCCCGGCACAACTTGCCAGCGACAGTAGTGGCTCTAAGAAGTGGCATGTCGTATTTTTTTATATGATCCCGCCCACTGTGGTTTCTGGAGCGTGGCCAGAGGATTGTGTCTGGCACAGAGGAAGCCCTCGTTTTAGAGAACCAGGAGCTGCTAAAGATAAGAACGGAAAGGTGGGATCGGGGACACGTGGAGCAGAGGTGTGACTACGCCTACCCCATTCCCTCAGTCTGCACTAAGCCCTCTCCTGGTGTCCCATTTCTCACAGAGGAGAAATGGCTCTGAGGAAGATTCTACTGCAGGGGCTCAGGCTCAAGAATAAGGTTCCTGTACCTGGGCCCAGCATTTGCCACCCTCAGGGGACACGCCGGGCTTCCACTGCTGGCTGGAGGTTGGCTCCGCATGTCTGTGCCTCCCGAGGAGGAGGATGCAGTAGTGAGTCAGACTGGCCCCGGCTGGGCTGCATGTCCTGGCAGGCCGCTGTCCAGACAGCGAGCACAAGGGAGGGGAGCTTTTCCCAGCGGCCCGCCCTGAGAAGCCACGGCTCTGGCTGCTGCCCTGGGGCCGGGGGAGAGTCCCAGGATGTTTGAGGAAGGACTGGAGTTAGGTGGTTGGCAGGATGGGCAGCTAGTGCTCAGGAGGAAGAGGCTTCTAGAAGACCTGGGAGATGGGCAGCAGAGCACTGACCTTTCAGCAAGGGAGGCTCCAGGGCACAGCCTGAGTCAGGAGACCAGTCGGTGACCTGGGGATGAGACCTGAGTTGTCCGGTTTGGTAGAGGTCTTGAAGGGTCTGTTGAGATCTCATAGGAGTCTGGACAAGTAAGCTTTTTTTTTTTTGATTGCTGGTGTGGAAATCCACTCAAAACGCCAAATAAATTCTCATTTGTTATTTTTTGCATTTCACAGGCTGGGGTGAGCAAAAAATCAGAGCTTGCAAAACCTCAGATTTCATTTGAGATAGTAAAATAGGGTTATTGTTTGAGTGCAGTATAATTGTATCTGCTAATGGCATCTCTTGGCTTTGGAGGCCGTCGTTCTGTACCAGAACATCCTTGTCATAAAGATTTTGCTGTGAAGCTGAGTCCAGACTAAAAACAGGAAAAGAAGTTTGCTGGATTTGTGTGTGTAACTCACAGGTTTTTGGCATAGAATTGTCCTGTGGACTATATTAACTTTTTTTTTTTCTTTGAGGTTCTGAGTGGATCAAGGTTGGCCTTCTTAAGCCAGTGGAACCATCTGGCAATGCATTTGTGATCTAGGGCCCTCATGCGTTACCTCACCTCTGCCACATTTATTTTTATTTTTTTTTAAGATTTTTTAAATTTATTTGAGAGAGAAAGAATGAGACAGAGAGCATGATGGGGGAGGGTCAGAGGGAGAAGCAGACTCCCTGCTGAGCAGGGAGCCCGATGTGGGACTCGATCCCGGGACTCCAGGATCATGACCTGAGCCGAAGGCAGTCGCTTAACCCCCTGAGCCACCTAGGCACGCCCCGCCTTTGCCACATTTAAGCAGAGCATTCCTGAAGCTTGTAGAGCAGTGGTTGATTAATGAAACTGGAGGCTTCACCTTTGTTTTAATTCCAACTTTTTTACCAGGAAACTTGTAAATATACCATTTTCAGAAGAGGTACATTTGTGATTTTTCTTAATGCAAAGTATTTCACATCAGTAAATTTATTAGTAAAGGGAAGAACAAATTTTGCTGTAATCCTACCATCCAGATGACATGCTGTTACTATTTGTGTAGATCTGCTTCCTGTCTTTTTATTTATGTTTAATTTAGTATCCCTTCTCTCTAAAAAAACAGGAGCGACCAGGTTCTTAAATAGAATAGTGAAATGTTAGTAAACCACAGGCTTAAAGAGAACTTAGAGGGAAGATAATCTGGGTATTTGGGAGGAGATAAGCATTATAGATGAGCCAATAAGAAATTACCTGCAAATTTTCTGTGACCAGTTTCTTGGTATTTCCTTGGGAGGTATCTGTTTTTCTCTGTAACCTAGCTGAATCTCTAGGAGCAGCTACCTCTGGTTACCTGGTTATTAAGGTAATTTTTCCATTGCCACAAAGAACTTCAGTTCCACTCAGCTTCTACCTTGATCCTTGTACAGCTCTGCAGAGCAAACCTTACTCAGCTCCGAGCGGTCTTTGCGAGTGGGGCCAAGTTGCCACCCTGAGCCAAAAAAAGATCATTATGTCACCAGAAGCCCAAGCCCCGAGAACACAAGGTATGACCCAATAACCTGTGGGCCCCCCCCCAGGTCTTTGCAAGGAAACCCTCATGTCTCAGGTCTAGAGAAGAGGCAGCTGATGATTTTTGTTTTTTTGTTTTGTTTTGTTTTGTTGGCAGCTGATGATTTTTAAGAAGATTGGGGTTTGGTTGCTCTAACCCACTCATTCAGATCTTAATTTGTTGATGATAACAGTCCTCAGACAGGATGATGACTCCACTCGGAGGCCACAGTAGGCCTTTGTGTTCCAGTTGGCTGGGTGTGCCTCCTGGTGCACATCTCTTCAGTCACATTCCCTTAACAGCCAGCTGTACCTAAGCCCCGCCGTGGGCTCTGACGGCACGCGATCCCGGACCGCCCGGAACCCTGGCCACCGAGGCAGTCCCTCCAGGAATTCATAAGTTCTTCAGATTTGGGGAAGGGGAGAAGGGAGGTATAACTTTGATTTTGACCACGAGGCATTAAGGTACACTGAAAGGTCATTCGACAGACTCTGGAATACTTCCAAGTACTAGGTGCTAACAGATCTAAAAGCGAATAGGTCATGGAGGAGAGGACCTCCAAACATTTCCGATTTGGTGCCTGGTGTGTATTAGGGAATTAGGAAATGCACACTGAAAAGAACAGTGCATTTGCCACGTGGAATAGTTAGCCAGTATCTTATGTTCCATTTTTAAAGTTTTAGCTTCTGTAGCTGAAGGCTTGTAGCCACCCGTTTTCAGTAGCTGACCGGAGGTTTGCTCACAGCTGGTCACAGAGCTTCTTGGGCTTCTAATCAGAATTCTTGAAGGTACAGAGATGGGTTGAGATGCTTGCTCTACCCAAGCTACTCTAAGAGGCCACAAAGTCAAGGACAGAGGACAAAGAGTAAGAGGGATATATATGGGGTGCCTTGATTTTAGAGCTCTGAGATTTAGGAGGATCTGGGATAGGGCTGAAGAGGGGCTTGTTCTGGAGCCTGGGCTGAAGCCTATAGGCTCAAGGGTTTTAGGAGTAGCCTTTGGTCGGAGAACTTGAGGAAGGGATGGCCTTGTGATGAGGAGTGTCGGGTTTCACACTCACATCCTTACCTGGTGGTTCTTCAGACATTTCCTGGAAGCTTCTTAGGTCTTTGTAATCAGCTAACTAACCGGCTGAGTGAGTTTAGTTGTCAGTCAGTAATGAAGAAAGCAAAGGTCGGGACCAGTTGTCAGGATTGTGACCTGGCCTGGTTAATTACCTGAAACAGATAGTCTCTGCAGTGTACTTGTCAGAAAGGGAATTGGGATGGTGTATCAGAAAATCAGTTGGGAAATCAGTTGGGAAAAGGATTTGGCAAAGCCATCTTGATTTCTTTGTGTTGTAACCATCCTGTGAAAGTAGCTGTAATGTTTTTAGAACCAGACCAGTGCCATTGGGGTTATCTCTGGTTTTCTGCAAATTGCTTTGCACATCCTAAAGTCCTGCTGACCAAAGTGGTTGTCGTTTTTAGGTACAGACCCCTGGGGCAAAAGATTCTGCATGTAGGGTTTTGGATCAACTTTGCTTCCTGTCCAAGGACTGGTTTTTACTATCTGTCAGCGAACTGGGACCTACTCTCCTGCCAGACTGAGTTGAGGAATGAACTTAGGTGGTGCTCCAAGTTAGTGAAAATCTAGGATTCCTGAGCTCAAAGGACTGCCTGGATGGTGGTTGTCTTTACAACCAGGAAAATCACTTTGAGTTTGGGTGGGGATTGTTAAAAAACAATGTGGATGCCCCTCCCTGTAGCAGACATTTATAGCTTTGAGATAGCTTTTCTTACAAAGATCTATATTTGCCAAGGTACTAAACGAGGAGTCAGTTCTTTATATCGCTGGTTATATCACTGGAGGATTGGTTACAACTTTCTTTGGAGGTAGCTCCTTCGGTGCCCATGAAATGTTACTTGTAGGATTAACAGGAAAACTGTCAAGGTAGATACTAGCCCATTGTAAGGGAGGTCTGCTTACAGTGGATACTTGGGAAGTACATGCATTGGGTACGAGGTTTTAAATTGTTCTCTGAGGTCCGTTCCGCTTGCTCACGGTCACGTGAACCCTCTGCCCAACTTGAGGAACGCCCACATGGCCAGAGTGTGGCGGGGCTCCCTGTGGCTTGTGCACAGTGTGCTTATTGAGTTAATGTGTAAGCAGGAAACAGCCTCCTGTGCGGAGGGGTATATTAACCACCTGGGCTTCTCGGATTGATCACTGTCTCTTCAACTCCCCTGGATCCAGGACCTCAGCAGCCATGTCAAAGCCCCATAGCGATGTCGGCACTGCCTTCATCCAGACCCAGCAGCTGCACGCAGCCATGGCCGACACGTTCCTGGAACACATGTGCCGTCTGGACATCGACTCGCCACCCATCACGGCCCGGAACACTGGTATCATCTGTACCATCGGTGAGTGGCTGTGGCCCCCCTGTTCCCCACCTCCAAAAAAAACGGGGGCTTCATAGGACCGTGATCTTTTCTCCTGAAGAGACAGAAGAAATGTAGCAAACCTGAGTGCTGAGCGAGATGCTACACGGATTCTTTTGGGGACTAGGAAGTGGCGATAAGGAATCTGCACGCTCTGGGTTGGCTGCTAAAGGCAGAATTTAGATGGTGTCTTCCTTAATAGCACATCTTTTAGGAGCATCTCAGAAATCTAGGGAAGATCTTTTTGACATGCTCCAAGACTCTGTGGTTGGAAAACCGACCAGGCTTTGGGGAGAGTAGAGAGGGCTGGTTGAGTCTTACTTAGGCTTTCCTCGTTAGATGTAGGAGCCTATAGGAGTTGAAGGGAATAGGAAAAGTGTTCCCTTAAATCAAGAAAATGGGCAAACACAGTAACAGCCATCTATATGCTTTTGAAAGAACCTTGAGTGATTTGTAGGAGGAAAATTTAGGGGAAAAGAATATCAAGGATTCTTCAAACTTGAAAGTGTTATTCCTCCTTTGAATAATTAACACTTTGGCTTTAAAACTTTTTTTTCACTAGGCCCAGCTTCCCGATCGGTGGAGATGCTGAAGGAGATGATTAAGTCTGGAATGAATGTGGCTCGTATGAACTTCTCTCATGGAACCCACGAGGTGAGCCTCAGCTGGATGGTTTGGCCACTGGGGCAGCGTGCAGGAAATTGGGTGGCAGTGTGCTGTTCATTTAGCCACAGTGGAGCAAGCAAGAAAGAGTCTGGGGTTTATAGCCAATGCGGAGGTCGTCTTCACTGGCCTGTCCTTAATATCCTTCCCCCATCTCCTGCCATCCCAGCTGGCCAAGTCTCCTTACGTGGAGATGATCTTTGGTTATTGGCCATGGTTTTCCCACACACCTGTGCTGACAAAAGTGTGCAAGGGTTGGGATGCCTGGCTGGCTCCGGCAGAGGAGCATGCAACTCTCAATCTCAGGGTTGGGGCTTTGGGTCCATGTTGGGTGTAGAGATGGCTGGGAAAATAAATAAACTTAACAAAGTGTGAAAGGGTCTACTGGAGAACCCACAGTGCTTGCCACCTCCTACCCCTGGGTCTCCATAACAGTTCCTATTGCAGAGATGAACCAAAAGGTCACCCTGCAGGTGGATTTCTGGCCTAGTTTAGACCCACGATAACTGAGCAAGTCCAGGAGAGGAGTTTCTACCATTGCAAGTTAAGTACTGAGTCTAATGCACCAACCCTGCTTCATCAGTATTGTGTTCCTGGCCTATCTCTTCCCAGGGGTCCTGGTACATTAAAACCAAGTCAGCACACTTCCCCAGCAGCCTGGTAGGAGTGTATTTGTGCTGAGGCTGTGTAGGAGCTGACTTGCCCTGTGGATGGAGGCCTTACCCAGGGACCAGGTGGCAACTCCTGGGACATGCTCCATCCCTGCTCCTGTTCCCAAACTCATTCAGAGGGAGGAGTGGAGGTTCCTTGAGGGACGGTTCCTTTTAAAACCCATCAGGCTCCATCATAAGCTGTGGGATTTCATACTGGCATTGATACAGAAGAAATGGATGAGCCAGACTTTCCCCTGTCTTGACTTCTGATACTTCCTGTTCGGAATAAAGAAAATGCTACCCTGTAAGGACAGGTGGTGAGGGGTTGCCCTCTGGCATCTGGAAACTGGTGTTAAGTTTAGACTAAAAATAAAGCCTCAGGAAGTACAGTCCAAAAAGTTAATTTCTCCTTCTGGAAATGTGAGACTCTCCATCGTGGGTTCCCTAACCTGTGTTTCATAAACAGTTTATGGCCTGGCAGGCGGCCAGCCTCCAAACGTCATGGGGGCCTGACCAGGTTCAGAGGAACTGTGCTCAGGTGGTACTTCAGGCAGCTTAAGACACATCCGTGCTGGCATTCTGTAATTTTCCAAAGTCGGGGGCCTTGGCGGGAGTCCCCAGGAATTCTTGCAAGTGTTAGCTTAGCCCAAAGAGAGAGCTAAAGATACCAGTGGGGATCGGTTCGCCATTGATCCCTGCTGCTGGACCGTGCCAAGGTCTCCTGTGTGCAGCAGAAGAAGCAGAAATAGATTTGAAGAAGTCGACCCTTAACTAGGCTTGATGGCCTCTTCCATCCAATCCAGTAAACTAACACCGCCACAGCTCCGAAATGGCAAGGCCATGGGGTGTCTGCTGCACCTGCCCTGGGTGGGGGGGGGCGGCCTGGCCCAAGGATTTGGGTGTTTTTAGACTACAAGAGGCGTTTGGAGATATTCTCTGCTTTAATTCTTACTCCCAGATTAGATTTGGGATTTAAAATACAAACACACACTCAAGTCCCTCTTGTGGGTTTGGGGTTTTTGACCAGGATAAGGTTGTCTCTGGGATCAGGGGTTTGGAAACTCATCTTCGTAGGCACCTTTGACTAGTGGCTGCAACATGCTTTCCCAGCTCTTGACAATTTTTATTTTATTTTTTATTCTTTATTTTTTTTTAAATGTTTTCCCTTTTTTAATTTTTTTAAA